CAGTAGAATAGTCGCACTGGTACACATTTGTAAAGGTTTCTCACCTGTATGTTTCCTCATATGAACAGTAAGATGAGAATGGTCAGTCGTCCTGTATCCACACTCCCCACACATATAGTGTTTGTCTCCGGTGTGTTTAGCCATGTGTCGGTCTAAATGGCTTTTCTGTGCAGCAGAATAATCACACTGGTCACATTTGTAAGGTTTCTCTCCTGTATGTTTTCTCATATGAACAGTAAGATGAGACGTGTGAGCTGTGCTGTATCCACAGTCTTCACACATGTAGAGTTTGTCCCCTGTGTGTTTAGCCATGTGTTTCTCTAAATTGCATTTATTTGCAATAGAATGGTCACACAGGCCACATTTGTAAGGTTTGCCCACAGTACCTTTTTCTGCTCTGACTCTGTACGGGAGGATGGATAGTGTTTCCTCCATTAAAATGTCATCTTCCTTGTCCTGCTGTCTTCCCGTGTCTGTTGCATGGTCCTCGCTACTGCTTGTCTCGTTCCCAGGGTGCAGAGATGGCAACTCGTCCATAGTTTTCTAAAACGCAAAAAGAAAATTAGAAATTTAAGCATAAAAGTATTTCCATACTATTAATGCCAACATTCTGATGTATTCCTACGACCCTCTTGGCCAGTATGTGTGGATACGACCAGGAAAATCTTACTAGTGACGTTGGAAACGTATTGAGTATGAGACGTCCTATTTATATAGGTCGATCTGCCCTAATCTACAAGCAGATCTTTCGGTAGGGTAAGACAGTGTCCAATTTGCCAGCCTGTATCTATTTCACACCGAATGGATACAGGCTGGCCAATATGATACTGCCTTAGCCCCACCGAAAGATCTGCTTGGATATTAGGTCTACCCACCCCGATCCCCATGTACAACTTAAGATTTTTCAGCATTACAATTTGAAGTATCTGCTGTGGTTCCGTGACACAGCGAGTGTAGGTGGTAAACAAAGGTCTTACCTGTCTATCACAACTGCCAAGAGTAGGTTTAGAGTCGAACTAAGTTGTAAATTACCTCAGATTGGAGAGAAAAGACACCCCTAGCGCGGTTCAAAATGGCGGACAAACGCAATCGAGGATTAAACCAATCGTGGGGCCAAAGTGAAAGTTGAAAAACCTGATTACCCAGGTTCAAATGTCACTGCCTACCGGGCTTGTCGATATTGCAAGTTTGTCTGCCAGGTAAGTTGGAAATTGAACTTCACTGGACAGAAAAACCTTAAAATGACAGACAAACGCAACTACAGTTAATTAGTGGCGTTGGGTGGCGTAGTGGTAGAGCGTACCCGGGACTTGTCTGAACATGCGCCCCGACGTTGTGTCCTTGGGAAGGCACTTTCCCCTTTCCTCACTCCACCCAGGTGTGAATGGGTACCTAACTTCGGTTGGGGAAAGCCGTATTGAGGTCACCTTGTGGCGCTGAATGGCAGCCGCACAGACCCTTGCGACAGTTCCACAAAAATCTGTGGAGCAAATAAGCGTGTCGTGTATTATTTGATTCTTGTGATTTGTATTGATTATCATGTGATACCCTGCATCAATGTTAGCCTTTATGACTAAGAAATCATAGATCAATTACTCTGATTGTGCAAATAGGATCCTCCATTGCATTAATTATATCTGTTGATCGTATTCTACACCAGACGTTAGTCTTATCGTAACAAAGAATGACATTATAACATTGCCTCATAAATTATGCAAATGAGGTCCTTATTTGAATAAGTAATGTTTACTGATGTTTACCTTCACTTAACTTTCAAATATCCCAAGTATGAAATTCCAGGCAGTTACCACTATGTAATTATAATTTTTTTTCATTGATTATGCAAATTAAGTCTTCATTTGCATAATCGATAAATGCCTGTATTTCTGTCGTTCTTCAGTTCAGTTTATTACGATACATAATTAATTACATATTTACATAATTAATTATTTTAGAATTATTTACATAATCAATTATTATTTACATAACATATTACATATTTCAGAAGCATGGATAGTCCTATCATGGAATGCAGCTGATATATAGAATTTCCTCCTTGATTCATCCTCCCGAGGCAGGGTCGGCGGCGCGGTATTCTATATACCTTAAGTAAGTTATATAGAATACCGCGCCGCCGACCCTGCCTCGGGAGGATGCCTTGATTATGCAAATTACATCCATATTTGCATTATTTTACTATTTCTATGTCAAGCATCACTTCAGCTACCTACATACCAAAAATCACGACGATCCATGATCCTACGGCGCTCGCTGGTCCCTCCAGCAGTGGGAAGAACCCCCCTCCCATTCAAAATCCTGGCTAGGGGCATGATTTTAGTCATTTTTAAGTAGCTTTATCTCACTCTCGCGGCAATTTTGATCAATGGTTTAACCTTTGCTGAAAAGAGCAACATCTGTTGATTCAATAACAAGTATCGTATAATTGGGACACATAATGCGGCCCGTGAATGGATGGTCTTTATGCGGGTTTTCGCGTTTTTGAGTATATGACGTCTCTTTGCGGGGTAAATCGGGGTAAAGGACATTTTTGTGCAGCTGTTTGGGAACAATATTGAAAAATGCTAAAAATGATTAGAAAGGTTTGTTGGGGCTGTACATGGGGATATAAGGGTACTTAAAAATAAAATTATACTGATTTTACACACTTTATCACGGTACATTTCTAATTTCACACATGGCCAAACAGAATGGTTAAAACCCATACATGTCTGGGGAGTGTGGATACAGGAAGGCTTACAGGTCTCACCTATCTACACATGTGAAAACAAATGTATGAAACCCTACAAATATGGACAGTACTAGTGTACCTGTTCAGCTTCACAGAAAATCCATTATGATCTACACATCGCTATTAAACATAGTGGTACGAAACATTATAAGTGTGACCAGTGTGACTTTTCAGCTGAAAATATAAACGGTCTTAAGACAAACACAATGCTAAACACACTGCTTAGTGAGTGCGGATGGAAAACAAATCTCATCTGTCCCGTATATGAAGAATTATACAGGAAAGAAACCACACAACCAGTTCGGACCTGTCTGACGTCTAGCCGAACATACAGGTGAAAATGTTGCAGATGAAACAGATGTGACCAGATCATGACATGGTTAAACATTTGAACATGATAAACCCTTTGTTTTTTCGGATTTCAGAAACATTGCTGCCGACAACTTCTCTCATCTAACGCCAAAAGCAAGCATACATCCGAAAAGCCCTTTAAATGTAACTACGCCTCGGATAATGTGACCGACATATTTCTTTGTTTAAAGTTAAAACTTTTGGTCCAACACAAAAGAGTTCTCTCACCTAGAGTTTTCGACCAGTCACTCTGGTCTTCCTCAGTAGACTGACCCAGTGAAGCTTGTCACGTGGCTTCTTTGAAGTGTGACGTCAACAGTTTTAACCTTAAACATGTAACTACCAACACAGATGGACTTTCATGATAGGCATATTTGTTAAGGGCATAGTTTATTTTCGAGTCATTGTAGACAATGATGAGAGTTGTGATACTTGCTTATCTATATGTTTTGTTAATAATGTTCTACATTACTCGTATATAGAATACTGAAATATTGGTTTTACGTGACGACGAAATACACTCGACCTAAAATACTCCAGTCCTAAAATTGCCATTGTTTGTTTCAACGATTCTTTATACTTATTGTATGTTTTATAGCTATTTATATATTGTATAGTTATTTGCACCTCGGTTTTGATACTTAAGTACAAAAAAGAAAAGAATGAAATGCTACATACTGTTCCAAACTTGCTGCAAATGTTTATTAATATTCCTTCAGACCACACGTTGTGAAATGAGCTAATTCGCATATACAAGCAAATGTAACTTTTCCTTATCGTCATTACAACATCCACCAGACGAATATCTTCTTAGTCGGATTTTTTGTACTTTTCTCTGCTGCAGCAATTGTAGTGACTGTAGAAGAAAAGCTGTTTAAAGTATATAGTAGACAACTTTTCAATATCCGGCGAGCCGTCTGTAGCTACATAATCCTGGATCTGGGTAATCGGGTTTTTCAACTTTGACCTTTGCCCCTTGATTGGATTGACCTGTGATTCTTTTTTTACGCTTGTCCGCCATTTTGATACGTGCGAGGGGTGTTCTTTCTCTCCAATCTAAAGCGATTTCCTGCTCACTTCGACTGTAAACCTACTCTGGGCAGTTGTGATAGACAGGTAAAAACCTTTGTTGACCTCCTGCGCTCGCTTTGTTGCGGTACGCAGCAGATACTTCAATGTCGTCATGCGTTAAATGTCTAAGATATACATTGAACATTTACCACTACATGCTTCACGATTCCATGAAGTTTCTTTATCAATATGAATTGTAAGTCTTGCCGTTTCTTGGATCGGCACGCTTTAGATTACTCGGACGGGCCGTGCCGACATAGCGCCGCTAGCGCCAGGGGCGTTACGCTAGCGGCGCAGGCCAAGTCCGTTGTCGCTATAAGAAATACTACAGTATGTCACTGAGACTCAGAAAAAAGTTAAAATCAGAGTCAGGAGGCTTCTAGATCGATAACAGTTACAATTTTTTGACCCAAAATTCATATTATTTGCAGAGAAATTATGGGGCCGACTTGTCTTAATTGGGGTTGGTGCCGAGTTCTCCTGAATGGCCAGGGGCCGAGTTGTCTCAGGGGCCGAGTTGTCTTGGAATCATACATGGGGAGGGGGGCACATCGAGTATGTAAAGTATGTTCCAGATAGGACATCTGATACTCCATTATTTTATAGTGTGAATGATTACTGGTCTTAACAAACATACTGGCCAAGGTGTTCCTAGAGTTATAAGAATATAGACATGTTAGAATTAGAAAAATTTGTTGTTGTCCTTGTTTGACGTCTATTATGTCGCTAGACGTGGTCTTTATAGGTGCTCAGTTTTACGCTTGGTTCAGTTCAGAGTCAGTTGTCTCTCAAGGTATTAACACTACTTGGTGACTTGTGCTTGTGTGATGCTCGGAGTGTTTCTAGGAGAGCACTAGCCTCTACCAGGCTTGAGGGCTCGGCTGGAAATAGTAGAAATTGGCCAAATAGAGAGATAACACGCCGAGGGAGTTTAGCCATCCAGTTTACAGTGGGCCGGCAAACTGTAAACTGGATGGCTAAACTCCCTCGGCGTTTTATCTCTCCATTTTCCCCCAATTTCTACTATTTCCAGCCGCGCCCTCAAGCCTGGTATATAGAGGCTAGGAGAGCACGTCAAAAGAAAAATTCATATTTCTTATGAAACTTGACATTTTTTTTGACAAACCATGTATTTTTAGATCTATATGCTTGTACATCTATAACTGCGTCAAGAAGCGAGAAGAATATTCGAAGTTGAACATGTAAATAGTAGATCACATTAGTACGCATTTAGGCACCAAGAGTTAAATACCTAGAGAGACTTTTTGACTCTGAACTGAACCACGCGACAACGAGCACCAAGTGACCACGCCTGGCGATATATTAGTCTTTTTTTAGACGTTAAACAAGGACAACAACAACAACAACGTATAGTTTAAGTGTCATTGCTGTATCCTTTTCCTTCATTCATGACCTGTACTCTAAGTCTTAGCTTGTTAGAGCGCACAAACATACAATAAAGGTCTTTCATTCATTATTATTATTCAATGTCGACTATTTTGTTTTCGTTCCAAGAAAATGATGGACTGGAGAAGCTATGAAATACCTGTGGACGAGCTGCCAACTTTCCACCCTGGGAACGAGGCAAGTAGCAGCGAGGACCCGGCAACAGACACAGGAAGACAGCAGGTCAAGGAAGAGGACATTCTATTGGAAGAAACGTACGGGGTAAACTACTATTTCCATCCTGCTTTACCGAGTCAAATAGAGCAGACTGACCGGCCTGTGGTCAAAGATACTGTGGACAAACTTTACAAATATGACCTGTGGGATTATTCTGCAGCAAAGAAAATCCATTTAGACAATGACATGGCCAAACTCACCGGAGACAAACCCTACATTTGTCCAGAGTGTGGCTTTAGGGCATCTGTAAGGTCTGGCCTAGCAGTGCATATGAGAAAACATACCGGTGAGAAGCCATACAAGTGTGACCAGTGTGACTATTCTGCTGCACAGAAAGGCACTTTAGACCGGCACCTGGCTAGACATACCGGTGAGAAACCATACAAGTGTCACCAGTGTGACTATTCTGCTGCACAGAAAGGCACCTTAGACCGGCACATGACTAAACATACAGGTGACAAACCCTACATGTGTGGAGAGTGTGGCTTTAGGACAGCTTTTATGTCTAGCCTAACTGTGCATATGAGAAAACATACCGGTAACAAACCCTACAAGTGTGACCAATGTGACTATTCTGCTGCACAGAAAACTAATTTAGACACACACATGGTTATTAACCACACTGGAGACAAACACTACATGTGTTGGGAGTGTGGATACAGGACAATTGACAATTCTCGCCTTACTATTCATATGAGAAAACACACAGGTGAAAAACCTTACAAATGTAACCAATGTGACTATGCTGCTTCAAGTAAAGTGACTTTAGATATGCACATGGTTAAACACACTGGAGAAAAACCCTACATGTGTAGGGAGTGTGAGTATAGGACAGCTTCCAGGTCTAGCCTATTTGTGCATATGAGAAAACATACAGGTGAGAAACCCTACAAATGTGACAAGTGTGACTATTCTGCTACATTGAAATGTACCTTAGATCGACACATGGCTAAACACACCGGAGACAAACCCTACATGTGTGAGGAGTGTGGTTACAAAACAGCTGACAGGTCTGACCTAACCAAACACAAGAGAAAACATACGGGGGAAAGACCCTACAAGTGTGACCAGTGTGACTATTCTGCTGCACAGAAAGTCAATTTAGATGTACATAAGCTTACACACACTGGAGAGAAACCCTACATGTGTTGGGAGTGCGATTACAGGACGTTCACTAAGTCTCGTCTAACTCTACATATGAGAAAACATACAGGTGAAAAACCCTACAAATGTGACCAGTGTGACTATTCTGCTGCACAGAAGAGGTATTTAGACAAACACTTGGCTAAACACACTGCTGTGTGTGAGGGTAGTACTAGTGCGGATGACAAAGTTACTTGTCCCGCGTATGAAGAACCATACAGGAAACAAAGCACACAAAGTGTTTGAAAATGTCTGCCTTTTAGTCAAACATATAGGTAAAAAATGTTACAAATGGACAGATATGACCTCATTGATGTCACTAGATCTTGACATGATTAAACAGTCAAATAATGTATAATAAACCCTACATGTTTATTGTGATCGCAGACAACTTTTCCCTATCTAATCATAAGACTTAATTAAGAGCCAGCATACATTTGAAAACCCTTTCAATATGACTCACATATATGTTAAAATCCATGCCATTGTTTGTTTGAACCAATCTTTAAAGTAACTCATGTTTTGTAGCTGTTTGTATTCTTAGGTTTGATACTATAGTGCAAATAGAATAAAATGCTGAAACCGTTTTCAACTTGCTGCACATGTTTGTGATGTCACTGTATGAAATGGTAAGAGTTATAATACTTGCTTCGTTATATGTTGTGCTGATAATTTTCTACATTAATCATATTTTAGACAAGATACTTAAATAGTGATGCTGCATTAATAAGTTTGTGACGAAGAATTACACTCGCCAAAATGAACACTACCGTCCTAAAATCCATGCCATTGTTTGTTTGAACCAATCTTTAAAGTAACTCATATATTTTGTAGCTGTTTATATTCTTAGGTTTGATACTGTAGTGCAAAATGGAATAAAATGCTGAAACCGTTTTGAACTTGCAGCACATGTTTGTGATGTCACTGTATGCAATGGTAAGAGTTATAATACTTGGTTCCTTGGTTCGCTATATGTTGTGCTGATAATTTTCTACATTAATCATATTTTTAGACAGGATACTTAAATACTGATGCTGTATTGATAAAGTAGTAGTCGTGACAAAGAATTACACTCGCCAAAACAATCCCGTCCAAAAATCCATGCCATTGTTTGTTTGAACCAATCTTTATAGTAAGTCATGTATTTTGTAGCTGTTTATATTCTTAGGTTTGATACTATAGTGAAGAAAATAGAATAAAATGCTGAAACCGTTTTGAACTTGCTGCACATGTTTGTGATGTCACTGTATGAAATGGTAAGAGTTACAATACTTGGTTCGCTATATGTTGTGCTGATAATTTTCTACATTAATCATATTTTTAGACAGAATACTTAAATACTGATGTTGCATTAATAAGTATGTGACGAAGAATTACACTCGCCAAAATGAACAATCCCGTCTAAAATCCATGCCATTGTTTCTTTGAACCAATCTTTATAGTAAGTCATGTATTTTGTAGCTGTTTATATTCTTAGGTTTGATACTATAGTGAAAAAATAGAATAAAATGCTGAAACCGTTTTGAACTTGCAGCACATGTTTATTTGTATTCATTCTCAGTTTCTCGGTTTATTTATTTCACCAGCCCACGTTGTAAAATGAGGTAACATATACACGTACACGCAAATCTTTCATCATCATCATTACCAAACATCCACTTTACAAATATTTCTTATTTTAGTCGACACTTTTTTTTCTTTATACTGCAAGTTTAGTTATAGAATAATAGCTGTTTGAAAAGGCATAGCACCAGCAGGCAAAATTGCCCTATCCGGCAAGCCTTCAGTACTAGCTAGTAGCTACATAATTCTGGATATGGGTAATCAGGTTTGTCAACTCAACTGTTTGCCCCACAATGTTAAAGTTATTTACACTTAGGTTCTTATACTGTTGAGCAGAAAAGTAACATTTGCAAAGCAAATGCATAATGTTTACCTTCGCATATGGTCTGCTCTGTTAATTCTTACTCAAAGACATTCACATACATGTATATGGTGACAGGAGTCTAAATGCCTACTATGAAATTGCCACATTATGTAACCCAACACCAGTTACTATGGTGACAGACGTCAACAAAAGAGGCCATTGGCCAGGTCAGAGGTTAGTGTTTGGAACAGAAGAAGAAGAAATGGAGTAAAAACAATATGTTTTCCTTCGGTAAACATAAAAGAATAAAATGCAGTTCCAAACTTTTTGCACTTGTTTATTTGTATTCATTGTAAAAATGTTCAGTCTGTTGATGTCTCAAAGTTGCCAGGTTAGCAATAAGTAAGGTGATTTTGATAAGAGATTGCCAGTTTCATTGGGGGGACCCAAATATCCCGGGCTTCTTGTCTGGGATTTTTTGTCCCCCTCTCCCCTTATGAAAGACACTAAAGTGGTGAAATACGACAACATGTTGGAAGGTAAAATTTCTACACAAGTTAAAATGTTCTGTTGTTGTCCCAAACCTGTCGGGTTAGCAGTAAGTCAAGTGATTTTGAAAAGAGACTGTCAGTTTTAATTCAGATTCGGAGTACATATTTTTAATTAATCATTCCTTCCTTTCTAGTTTACTTTCCTCTCATTCACCCTTCTTTCCTTTCTTCTGTTGATATTTGTATTCCATATACAATCTAAATTCTCATTACATCATCCACGGTATTTTAATAAAGCCTACTCTTCAACTACTCTTCAACTACTGAAGTGCAGTTATTAAAAAACAACGATCAAATGCACGTTAACCTTTACCAGCTTATTACATGTGTAAAGATTTCTGCAAACTGTGTATACTACCACATACGCGAAAACTGTTAATCTCCAAGCAGATCTTTTGGTGGATGAAAGGACAGAATCAAATTGACCAAGTATAGGGGTAACAGTACGTCAACACAGACAGACGGCCACAAGGACGAACAGTTATCAGGATCTCCTTCAGGAACATCGTACTGTACGTCTGTCTGTCTGCAAGTACTTTGTAACATGTAGATCTGACCATTTCGTGTGGTATATGATTTAAAGTTGACCTTTGCGCTGCTGAATGTCTTTCCCGTGGCCATATCATAAGTTGTCTTATTTTACCTGTTCATCCTCAAGAAATAAGACAATGATTATGTCATAGGTTGTGATAGTTAAAAATGCAAGTCAACTGTCATTGACACGTATATATACTGGATTTGTACATTTGTACATTTCGCCTTCGCTTAGCATGGCCAACGTGTTCGTTTTGGTTCTTATTTCTTCCTATCTTCTTTCAATCATTCCTTCCTCTCTACTTTCCTCTCATTCATCCTTCTTTCCTTCCTTCTGCTGATATTTATATTTCATATACAATCTAAATTCTTCTTTTAACATCCACGGCATTTTAATAAAACCTACTCTTCAACTACTGAAATTCCAAGTGCAGTTATGAAAAAAACACCGATCAAATGCACGTTAACCTTTACCAACTTATTACATGTGTAAAGATTTCTGCAAATAGTATAATATTGTATATACATGTGTAAAAAAATTGTAAATCTCCAACCAGACCATTTGGTGGCTGCAAGAACAGGATTCAATTGGCCAGCCTGTATCCATTGGCCAGACCATTTCACCAGCCAAGGTTAAAAAAAACTGTATCTTCAGTCTCTTCCGTTATAATACCAGCGTCGTTAAGCACGTTGCCAAGACGTACAGTGCCTGAAACAAACCCGTACCGTACCGGTACTTATATCAAACCCGTATTGTACATATAGGAAAGGGTATTATCCGGGTGTTCAAGGATAGCTTTCAAATGTTGTGTCGAACAAAAAAATCGTCTGCTATGAACAAAATGTTATTGTTCTGTTGACCAAACATCCAGTAAAAATCGTGGAAATCTGGAAATCTGACGCAATACCTTGCTTCGCTACCGTTTTAAACTAAACTCAAAGCAAAACGTTATATTATACTTATTAGCCTGAAAGAGATAGATACAAGGCTAGCACGTTGTGTTATGATTTCATAGGGGATGGAACCGTTACAACCTTAATATGCAAGCATGGTAAAAATTTTAATTCCGAGATAAAACCTAATGCTTTTTTTAACTGGTTGGATTGGCAAATGTTCAAACATTCAACCAACTAACTCTGTTTGAACGTTATCGGTCATTTGATGTGTTGAAAATACTGCAAACATTAATTTTCCCCAAACTGACAAACGTAGGGATTGATGATGATTTGATTCCTTCACCACCCGGTTCCACTTGGAAAACCATCTGGTTGTTATTGAGGATCCGTGTGTATAAAATGCAGGACATGAAGAGAGAAGTCATACTGAAGGTACACGTTCACGATGGCTGGACTCGGGGCTTGTCTTCTCACCACGCTGATCTCAGTGATCAGTCTGACTGCAGGTACAATTAACTTTATTCACGTGGTACTAAGATTAAAAAAAATAGAATATGTAAAGATCTCTTCGCACGAGGGGTGGAATGAGCCAGACTTTCATCAGAAGAGGAAATTTTGGTATAGTTTTGACTATTCAAAATGTTTTCTGGAAATTGGGACTTGGTAATAGTATTTGGGCCTATTTAAGTTTTCAGTTCTCTCTCCAGTGCGATTAGAATTTTATGAACGCTATTGGGATGCCTTAAAACTATATCGATATTATGAATGTCATTTGATATATCTTCACGTCAAATTCACCACAAAAGTTTTTAGCATGACCAAAACATTCGGGCTAGCCACAAGAATGGACTTTTGGGTGGTTTTCAAGAATGGTCCAAGAATGGACTTCAGTCAGTATTTTATCATTGCCCAGTGTCAGATCAAAGTAACTAACTTTCTAATACTTTGTCCCTCAGCTGAAGAAGCCTATCTGACATCCCTCCATGGATGGCACTACTACAAGGTACGTGCTTCAGGGACGATGACGTCAGCTAACATCAAGAGTACGTGTGAAGCGGCTGGGTACATCATGCCCTGTCCGTCGGCCGCGGAACCAACGTGTTCAGCTACATCCTCGACTTGTGTGGACACAGGTCTGGGGACATGTAACTACCCAATGAACAGTATCTCCCAGGTTCTGTGTGGAGATTATGCAACACGATGCCCTGCAATGGATGGCACATTTGCCTATTACAGCACCTACGGGGGCGGGGCTATCGGTGTCCAGCCAATCACTAGGCCAGGTTCTTGGCTCACTGGCGCAGACTACAGCAACCAGTTCGCCCTATGTGCAAAGGGTGAGTAAATTTATGGCTGTATCTCCTCAAGTTAAACAGGCATACTCAATTGTGAATAAAAAAAAAGAGAAATACTTGTAATGGAATAAATGATAAAAGACCGGAATGATTTAGTTTGTAATTTTGTATCGTCACGACCTTGACTTCAGGGACATCTAATTCATTACGTGCACGAATATTACCTGTTACCTAAAGCTATTCCTATAGTATAGCATGTAAATAAAGTAACTTTTTATTCTCTTCTCACTATTTTATGTAGATAATTATAAGAAAACGACAATTTTAGACTTAAAGCATCTAAAGATAAGCCCTTCATAGAATGGTGTACACGTTAATTGCCTTCTTATTTTCTCATCTGTTTACCTGTGACTAATTCTACCAATTTTTGTTTTTTTCTTCATTTTCTTCCCTAGTTGACTATTGTGCCTCGGATCCTTGTCACAATGGCGGTACCTGTGTGGACGGAGTCAACTCCTACACCTGTCAGTGTGTGCCTGGTTTCATCGGAGACGACTGTGAGAATGGTGGGAAGCTTCTACATTTATTACGTTACCTATTGTATCTTCCAGTATGTCTTTTGGTACATTTCTATTTATCATATCCAATTTAAAATATTGTTTAAGGATTTGAAAAATGATGATAGCGCACTGATCTGTCTGGTGCAGTACGATCAATTCCAGTACCTGAACGGTGAAATGAAGGTGTTACAACTTACAACACTCTCTAACTTTATGGAGTTATTTTATAGACATCGACGAATGTATCCAGGGTTCATGTTTGAACGGCGCCACCTGTCTGAACACACCTGGGAGCTACAGCTGCACCTGCAAAGACGGCTGGAGTGGACAGAACTGTGAAACAGGTAGGGGAACTGAACTAACGGTACTTACTAACCATAATGCCCCCGTCACATTGCGCGTAAATCGATCGTCCGACGAGTCGGCGAGCTCTAAACGACATTTACGGCCGTAGTATGCCCGATGTTCCGTCGAGCATCGCGCGAATTTTCGGGATCGCCGGCGATTTTTTTGAGTCGGCCGAAGCTCGCTGCAGACACGCGAAACGTGTTCTTAACATCAGCGACTAGTCGCCGGCGATTTTTGAGATCGCAGAGCTCGTTTCCAGCTCGCGCGTAGCTCGGACGTAGCTCGCCCCTGTGCGGCCGAGAGTCGACCGACAGTCGGACGTACATCCCACGAGTCTCGGTCGTATTTCGTCTTTGAAAATCGGGCGACGGTCGCTGAATACGGTCGACCCTCGCGCGAGCTTCGCGAAATATTCGGACGACCCTCTTCCGTACCTCGCCGGACCTGCGCAAAGTTTTTAAATTCGTGCGTGCTTCGAGCGAGCTTCGTGCCAGTGTCGGACGAAGGTTCTACGAGCCTCGGCCGAGCCCCTGTGAAGTTATTATTTATTCAGCACCTGTGACATTTATTTGAGATTGCATTGGCAGTATACTGTGTAAAGTTTGCAGGAGCAACTTCCCATTGATTGTTAAAGTTATGTTTACGAGAAAGGATAAAAGTAGACAAAACCGTCCTTTTTGTCCTTTTAATAAATCAACATTCGTTAATAAACAAAACCATTTTAAAAAGATGACGAGGTTTTAACTATATAAGACCAAATGCTTATTAGATTTTGACCTCAACTGATTGAACGCACATGAAATTCTTCACTCTTGTCCCTTTAGGAGGTGTGTGGCCTTATTTCAGATGATTGTATAATAACTTAACGTTTACACTTGTTACCTTCGCCAAGAAGGTTATGTTTTCAGTAGCGTTTGTCTGTGTGTGTGTGTGTGTGTGTGTGTGTGTGTGTGTGTGTGTGTGTGTGTGTTTGTGTGTAATTTAGCAAGATAACTCAAGAAGCAGTGACTGGATTGGAATGAAACTTGGTAGGTGGGTAGGTCTTCATGAGACCTAGAAATGATTAGATTTTGGGCCCCCTGGCGGCTTTTCTAGATACTGCAGCTGAACTTCCGGTTTTGATATCTCGCGATCTGGACATGCTAGGGTCACGAATTTTGATTGGTAGATAGCTCTTGGGATAGGGAAGGCGTGACATGAGTTTGGGTCCCCTAGCGCCTTGTTCTGGAACTGCAGGAGCATTTGTTGAAAAAATTTAAAGGACGATAACTCAAGAACCGGTTGACGCATTGTCGTGATTTTTGGTATGTAGGTAGCTGAAGGGATGCTTGACATAATCAGATGACAATTATGCAAATCAGTAGCTAATTTGCATAATTAATGAGGAAATTCTATAAATCTGCTTTGTTCGATAATAGAACTATGAAAGACTTGTGACATCTACTTGAGAACGAGAAAAACATCTGAGGATATAGATTATGTTAATGAGGACCTAATTTGCATAAAGAATGGCAAATTCTTATAATTCCATAGTTGTAACTGCTGCACCCTGAATTTCATACTTGCCACATTTGGAAGTTAAGTGAAGGTGAACATCAACAAACATAATTTATTCAAATCATCACCTCATTTGCATAATTTATGAGGAAGTGCAATAATAGCCTTTTTGTTATGATAAGGCTGTCATTGGATGGAGAATATGATCAACTGATATAATCCATGCAAATGAGGCTCTTATTTACAAAATCAATGAATAAAATTGTATAATTCGTCACACGCAAGGGTTAACATCATTTGGCGAAGGTATGAGATCGTGGAACTCTTGTTCATTCTGGAATGAGGTTCATTCTGAATAGATCGTCGACCGTAACTCGGGCGACATACGCCCGAGTGTCGAGCGAGCTTCGGCCGACTCCTGTCTGGTTAAAAAGGTGGTCGTTGTGTCACGGCGGTCTGTCACTACGGCATTCTTTCCCATTGCTGTGTGCGTTCGATAAAGTATCGGGTTACAAGACGCGATTTTGGGCTAACCGTAAAACATTTGAAAATAAACAAACTAGTATCGAGGGGAAATTTCATTGAAATAAAATAAAATTATCGTCTTTACATACATTTAATGGTGATTTTTTGCGCTAAATGGATGATTTTTTCGGATTTCGTTAAAAAAGTCGATAATTTTCGGGATTTCGGAGCGCCATATTTTAGCCAATCACCGAGCAAACCTGGCTTCACATATTACGCAAGATCACTGATTTTTATATTTTTCGACGACTAGGAATAAGATGAAAAATCGTGCTTTAGGGATTTTTTAATTTCTGACTTAAAGTATAGTTTTTGTCGACAAATAGGTGAAAAAATCGAATTTTTTGGCTTTTTTCGCACTAAATTACCCATAATTCAAAATCATGCGCATTTTTCAAAAATTCCAAAAGCACGATTTTCGGGACAACCCTGACAGTCATTTTGAGCCGTAAATGGGGTATGTTAGACTCTCCATGTTTCTAGGTTTGAACGAGTTTTGCAGACATGTCATATCTCCAAAAAGTGTGCATTGTGTTTTTCATACAGGCGTAAAGAATCATTACAGTATTCAAGGTCACCCAAGGATACGACAGTAGCTTCGCTACATGTTACATGTCCACAAAAAATGATAGCGGACATGTACTATCCTGGAAACTGTTTGTATCTATAGAAAGTGTTGTTTTTTATCTATTACGAGTCACTCAGGCAAAAGGGCTTGTTTTGCCGCTTTATTGCAAATGACCGCAGGTGACCCCGAAATGGAACGCGGGTTCGATTCGAATCGCCCAGATCGAACACCATCGAACACAGTTCGGATTCTATGAAATGTGGGAACTTTGCAGCCCAGATTTTACCACCGTGTGTTAACCAGACGGTAGTGTGAATTTGTGGCTCTTGTGGTATTATTTGAGTTGGATCCTTCACAGAGTTGCTGTTTGTATTTCTATTTTATTCTGCCAGTCCACTCCATTACTTTGTTAAAAAAAATATAACGACAGGTCAAACATGAAAATTGGTCAAACTATTCATTTTTGGTGGATACACGGCCTTGCTTTATCTGCGTGCCATGTCATAGGGACTTCATTATCATAGATGTATTGCCAAGCGATCGCCCGAGCCTCGTACAATGTGACGGCGACGATTTTCAAGCCAAAAATACGCGCGATCGTCGGTCGATCTCAAAATCGGCCGATCTTTCGGCGATTGACAAATACGGCCGAAGCTCGTCGACAATGTGACGGGGGCATAAGCACCACGCTATGCCAATGATCAAGCAATATGGCAAAGTAGTTGAGATCGCGATCGATATTTAGGAGAAACGAAGACAACAACTCTGCAAAGCTTTGAGAGGCCCATCTTGAAAAAGAGAAGCATGATAAAAATTCGACATATCAATATGAGCACATTACAGGATTTGCTTCTCATTATCCCACTATTAATGATCACAAATATCGACTTCTCATGGAGCTAGCCGGTTGATTATGATACTCGTAACAGTCGTAAGACTAATAAAGGTATATGACTATAGCAGGACCAATTCTAAATCGTTCTAGTAGCATTATAGATGGATATAACAGTGATGTATATCTCTCCTCCTGTCTCCCAGTTCTAAATGCTGACAAGTGCTTCCAACTGTCAGAGGAACCCAAAGCCCATCAGGATGCCGAGGGACAGTGCGGTACTCTGGGAGGAACTCTGGCCGGAGTGAAGACCGTGGCTGAACAGGAGTTCCTGGCTGACCAGATCCGGCTGGGGACGGACATGTCCCACTGGGTCGGTCTCAAGAACGGACAGGAACACTTCCTGTACACCGACCTCTCCACCATGAGCTGTAGGTTTGAAACCTTTTAAACTGTATCTAAATGACTTAGCAGGGTGCTATTGCATAATAGCTATTGTGCTATTATCAATATTGTTGATGATCAGTTTTAGTTGGTTGGTTGGTTGGTTGGTTGGTTGGTTGGTTGGTTGGTTGGTTGGTTGGTTGGTTGGTTGGTTGGTTGGTTGGTTGGTTGGTTGGTTGGTTGGTTGGTTAGCTGGATTACTGGTTTCTACTTGTTTTATTGTTGCTCGGTTGGTCGGTCGGTTGGTTAGTTATTTATTTAGTTATTTAGTTAGTTGATCGGTTGACTTGTTACTTAGATGGTTTCTTGGTTGGTTCCTTCGTCGGTTAATTGTTTGATCGGTTGGTTGGTTGGTTGGTTGGTTGGTTGATTAATTGATCAATTAATTAATTAATTGGTTTGTTGGTTGATTGGTAGTTTAGTTTGTTGATCGGTTAATTTATTGATAGATTGATTGGGTTGGTTGGTTGGTTGGTTGGTTGGTTGGTTGGTTGGTTGGTTGGTTGGTTGGTTGCATGTTTAAATACTGATTGATTAATCGGCGGGTAGGTTGGTTGGTTGGTTGCCTGGTTATCTGTTAGTTAACTGGTAATTTTATTGAGGAATTGGTCAGTTAGTGTGCTGAGCATCGTCTATCAATTGAACTATAACCATTTCTTTTTCTATCCTATAAACTGCATCGTTCCCCAGCTAACCTACGCTGGATGTCTGGAAAGCCTGAACACCTGTGTGCGCTGCTGGATAAGAACGGGAACTACGACCTGAACGCGGACTTCTGTACGGTACAGTACAACTACGTCTGTGAATCCAGTGAGTCATGGAATTTCATACAGATTTAGGTCGATAAGTTAAACCTCAAGCGGTTTTAAACACCATTGTTTCCACGAATATTAAATGTCTAAAATTGTGTCCTCAGATTCGACGGTTAATCGTAGACAATCTTTGACAAACTGTACTTTTCATTTTCTTTAGCATACGAGATTGTCCTACACTCTTTTTATACGTTTATAATTGACCGGTTTACATGTGTTATGAATCACATTATTATAATTAAATGTATAGATAAATACACATGTTATATCTGTGAGCAATTCCATAGCGGTTCCTTCCGAAGCACAGTTCCCAAACCATTTAGTAATGAATGTAATGTGTATACGAACTAATATATGGTATTTCCTTCACCAAATGTTTATATTACAATGTGACATTTCTTAAATCATGAGTATTTACTACAATATCGCGTTTCCAGACGTCGTCTCCTGCAAACAAAACGTCTGTCTGAACGGAGGAAACTGTACCTCCTGCTTCAACGAGACTTACGCCTACTGTGACTGCGCACCAGGGTTTGTGGGAGACCGCTGTGAGATCAGTAAGTATAGTCAACCACACATAACCCTCGGTAGAATGCTCTTTGGTAATGGCAATTATATATCTTTTTGGAATCAAAAACTTCTGCTCTGATGGACTGAGGCAAACTTGTCTAAAATTCTTGCTACCAATATTCTTTGTCCTTGGTGCTGAAAATGAAGTAAAATGTACTTCTTGATCATGAGGTCAATTTTCTTTTTAAACGTGAGCTTGTCAAAATTAGGACGTTATGTCAACAACATAGTTCTCGTCGTTGGTGCTGAACTAGAAGTCAAATGCGTCATTGTGTTACTTCAAGGAATTCAAAGCATTCCCTGTTATCTATTGCCATATATATTGACTGACCGAATGAATACATCGATGTCCTATTAGACATTGACGAGTGCGCCTCGGATCCCTGTCAATATGGCGGTACCTGTGTGGACGGAGTCAACTCCTACACCTGTCAGTGTGTGCCTGGTTTCGTCGGAGACAACTGTGAGAACGGTAGGAAATATCTAGCCTTCTTGGCAGAGTCCTTGGAGCAGAGGCGCGTATTTGTGTGTGTGTGGGGGGGGTGCTGATACGTGATACGCTCGCTAAAGTTCTCTAGTCTAATGCAGCAGATGGAGTTATTCTGCAGGTACGGGAGGTACAGCTCTTCCCCGGGAGTCTTGCTGCTCTAGCCGCTTTTAGGTAGAAACCCTGCCGCGCTAAACGTCTACACGGGAGGCTAGGAAATACATGTAACGTTATCATGTTAAAATTTGTAAATCTATAAACACGTTAGCCTTACACTCTTCTTAGTTATTTTGAGGCGGTGTGTTACATCGAAGAGTGGTTATACCGGCTATAAAGATACAGATTTTAGATTAAAATTCTTAAGGCGATCGTACAAATCACCAAATGTATCTTTTGTTATCTGTATCAGATGTTGACCTCTGCATCAACAACCCCTGTCCTCCCAACTGGGGCTGCCAGGACTTCGGTCACTACTTCATCTGCAACGGTGAGCACAGAATACATGTTATGAAATAAAGACTAAGCTTTAACTTCCAACACTACCTAACAAAGTATTCGGACTTACCCCAAAGAAATGTTGTTACACAGAAGTAAATACAACCTGTGTTTTATTGGGATATCATTGGCGGTATTGCGGTATCCTATAGCTAGTCAGCATTTTTGGCTACCCATGATATTTTTATGCATCTGAATTTATATCTTATATGTATTTTTGATGCTGTTGATATGGGGACCGCGCCTACAGTATCTGTATCAGTAAACCATAAATGATAAACAATAAATGCAACACATGCAACAAATGCACACAATAAATGCAAAATGGAACCAGCAGCAGGCAAGATCTGCTCGATTGGGCATGGTATAATGAGTACGGCAGTCGATAAGCTTATAAATGATACATTCGTACATATGACTTTCAACCGATAACAGTTTTTGCTGTTGCATTTCTTCTCAGGTTACGGGCGTGCAGACGCAGACCTGTACCGCTGTGAGAGTTTCTCCTGTCCGTACGGCTGGTCCTGTCAGGACAGGGGACCGCTCTCCTTCATGTGTGGCACAAAGGCCTAGAGTCCCACTGCAGGTGAGCAAAATATTTTGTTCCCGCATGGTCGAACATGGTGCCCAGTCTATCGTGATAGGGGCAGGCTGTCTTCGGGGCTCTAATAGTTTTCCCCCGCCCAGTACAACAGACCCTCCGGTAGGGGTTTTACGCCTGTAGGAGCTTTGTTCATAGAGTTTGGCACGCCAGGAGTTGATTTCGCCCCAGCACAAACTACCGGGGGAACCTAGCACAAGCGGGCGGGTAAGAGCTTCAGCAGCCTCGAAGAAAACACGCCCCAACCACGACAGACTGGATACCAGGTTACGCATGGTCCTGGCACATTCGGTGTACGATTGCCGTAGGATAGCAACCTGAGGGCATTCTTGGGATAGTCGTGAATGTGGTAAGCAGAAATCAGCTGTCTTGTTATGGAAAAAGGCTAGTTGTCTTAGATCATTGCCGGCAGTGTATTCCGTCACATCTGGCTTAAATTATACACCATCAAAATCGTACGTCGACCTACGACGAATGTGACCGCACCGTTTTGGCAGCAAATTCACCAATTTGGCAGCAAATACACAAAACCAAATCACTTCCACTGCTATCTATTTGTATCTGATGTAATCTAGCCTGACTAAATCGCGCTCCTGGCGGCCGCCCTAAGGTTGCCGCCCCTAGGGGTGGGGGTCATTGACCTCCGACTGAGAGAGCTTGTGTAACACAGGCTAGATGTAATCTACCTCATCCATCTTTTCATCTGTTTTTGTTCTTTCTTAATCTAAATCAGCAAAGGGTATGAAATTTATAAGAAAAATATGCTGAATATTAAAAAAACTGAACAGTCGGCGATTAAGATGCTTTTCTCTTGCTGACATCTCTTTACAGTTATGTAAACTTTCTATTGCCATCTTAGAATATAACCTGTTTTTATTTGTTCATACAGGGACACGGCATGAAATTAGGGAGAACTTCAGAAGAGCCGCATCCAATATGGTCAAATGCAACAGCATCTCTCCAGCTTAGTGCTATGCTTTTAGCAGACGTAGTATCTATAGATGATAAAATAAAAAGGCTTGAACCTGAATCACTTGTTGTACTTTTCATTCGTGATGTTTGCGCTTCAATGATACTTGTGCCGTCACTTAAAGAGAAAATATCACATTTCTGTCAAGAGGATTTTGCTCCATTAGACAAGAAGTCCGCGGCGACGCTAATTTCCGTCTCGTAAACGGTCGTCACCTTTATTTTGAAACGGTCGATGCCATTTCGCAGAACGGCTAGCTTTAAGTCTATTAGCACGGTCCATTCACGCTGTGATGTTTCGTGGCGCAGAGGTTAGGGTATAGGTTAGGGTTTTAGAGCTATACTTGTGGACCCGGGTTCAAATCCAAGCTTGTGCTTTTTGTTTTTTTTTTACTAATATTTACAATTCTACACGACCCTCCCTTATATTTGCATTTTTTTAGTGTATATTACTTTTTATTCGTTTTTGGACCTCAAAAAAAGTTATGGTATGCTCGGATATGGCATCGACCATTCAGCGAAATGGCATCGACCGTTTCAAATGGCATCGACCGTGTACGAGACGGACAAATGCCGCGGCGACCTTAATTTACCACGGTGACGGTTGCCTCGGTCTTGTCACTGATATAATAGACTAGTGTGACAAACTGCAGACTGCCATGTTGTTCCTCAGGTATCATCTACTTTATACTTTCATCTAACGTTCTAATATTAGACCGCATTTTAGAGCTGTCTACATACCATGGCTACATAGGTCACGTAAAGATTACATAATTCTATTTAAACTTACACATTAACCCTCAACAGAACACCTTCCCGGACTGATTAATCTGTACACCTGGGGTCCGCGCGGACCCCAGAGCATTTTTTTGCTAATTTTTAGAAATTATCAACATGCTACCAGCTCAATTGTTTTGCAAACTGATGTGGGAACCTCTGTGTCCACATTACATACAAAAATCATACATTTTGAACTTTTTCTATTTTTTGGTGAAGAAAAGAAGACAAGAAGAAATACCCGATTTTTAAACCCATTTCAGACTGAAGGGGCTTTTGAGGCCCAACTTTGATCTCAGATAGCGGCTAAACGGCTTGCGCTAGAAGTATCAAATTTGGAGACCTTTCTTAAAATGTCTCTGGAAAAAAGTTCATATTAGTTTTATACTAGTAAGTTGATGTTTCTTTGTGTTGCCATGGCGACGGGTAGTTTTTTTGAAAATAGAAATAATTTTGGTTTAAACATAAACATTTTCTGAGTTTTATATAAAATTACACTTCTTTTCCAACATTAATAACATCTTACATAATTAAATATAAGTTAAATCATTTAATATGCATAGAGTATGCTAATTTGATGACGTCATTGGTCAAAATCCAATATGGCGGACTATATTATTAGCTCTGACGTCATATGACGTCATAATTACACCAAAGTTATCAAAATTTAATTCTATTACTACACCATTCTCTGAAAACTTGGTAGACATACGATGAATGCATAAAAACATATAAAAACGGAAATAAGGTAATGTATAAGAACGCCAGTGTAACCATTATGATCGAAAGCCGGCTGGGGTCCGCGCGGACCCCAAAAGAAAATCAGATATAATTTTTTTTATAAATGGTAGAAACGGAGTTTTCTGCACTGTATTGAGAGACAACTTTGTGGGTGACAATTACCTAAAATTTCAGGAAAAAATCTTTAGAAACAAAAAAGATATTACAGAATATATAGTGCTGGGGTCCGCGCGGACCCCAGGTGTACTGTTTAGGGTTAAAGCTGCTCTCTTTTTCTGCTATGCTGAATGGTACAAAATTACTGGATCTGAATCCCACTAACATCATCAATTAAACTTAAAAATATATCTACTTCTTTGGCCAAGGCGTACTTACAGAAAACAATTATTATCCTCTTCGCAGATCAATCATGCAATGAATCAACAACCATAGGCCATTAAAACGACTTGGCAGACGTTTAGATATCTACGATGATAACGTCTTTGAATACGTTTTAGGTCTTTCCGGCGTCTGGCACAAGCATGTTGTGTGATGATGAAATTCAAGCTTAAGGAGTATTTAGTACCGCGGAAACGCACAGATTTTGAATGGCTTCGGAGAAAACACGAGCCCGAAAATACCCTCTGTGTCTGGCGTCGGAGCGCCCTCTGGCAGTTTGAAGGTGAATTGCTGCAGCAGGGAAGTGAAGAACAGGAACAACTCGAACTTGGCCAGCTGTTCTCCGAGACACCGGCGGGGACCTGATACGACAGTAAAAGACGATGAAATGCATTGTCACTATCATATAATTCCTTATATATGCCTTTGATATACGTTAACAAGACTTAATTTATTCAAACGGACTTATAATTAATTGACGTATGACATTCACGCACTCATTTATTTCTGTCTCTCTCCACAAAAAACAACCCTTCTGAGGCTTCAGAGGAACTCAGTATGGTGAAGGATCATAAATGCCGCAAAAGGATACCATATAAGATGAGACTGTGATAGCTTTTAGTTCAATTCACATTTTTGACTTGACTTGACTTATGTCGAGTCCTGGTGTCCCTGGCCTCGAGACAAAATGGCTGACCAACACTCCCTATCTTCCATCACTTGACCCAAGTAGTCCACCTCCAGGCCAGTGTCTCTCCTTAGGCAGTCTATGTAGGTTGCAGCCGGTCTGCCGGCCTTCCTCCTCCCATGCTTGGGAGTCCACAGTACCAGCTCGGCCACAATCTCCTCTCTGCTCCTGTGACAGTGTCCTGCAAACCTAAGCCTTCTTGATCTAATTTTGCTAGAGAGTCTTGGTAGGTTGGCGTAAAGGTCCCTGTTCGTAACATGCTGTGACCAGTGGATGTTGAGTGCAGTTCTTAGCAACCTCGTATAGCATCCATCCAACTGCTTTTCTAGCTTGGTGGTAAGAGTCCATGCCTCGCATCCATACAGGAGGACTGCCTCAACAGTCGAGAGGAAGAGCCTCACTTTCAATCCACGTGAGAGGTTCGATCTCCAGATGCTTTTCAGCTTGTTGCAAGCTTGCCAGGCTGCTGCTTTCCTTGCAGTGATGTCCCTTGCTGTGCTCTCCATTCTAGACCCCAGGTACTTAAAGTCCTTTACCTCATCTAGGTTGGTACCATCATTTGTTGTGAGGTTGTATGGAGCCGGAATGTTGAAAGCCATAAACTTTGTCTTTCCAGCATTCATGCGAAGACCGACTTCTCCCACTGAACTCTCCACACGCCCACATTCACATTTTTAATATAAGTATATTTTATGGATTTTTTTGCCCTGTCGTATTTTTTTTTCAATTTGGTGTCTAGATTATGACATGCAATATATTAATATAATAATTAATAAAAGAATTTTATTGCACGGTAATTGTACATGTTACAATGTACATGCATGGCAACGACTATTGAACACAGATAAAGATATATCAGTGTGGCTTAAAAAGAGAAAAGAAAGTGTCTCAACATCCGAGAGGCTGTCGACCCTGCTGCTAGAGTTAGCTGGTCACACAAATTTTGTTCTCTACATTCAGTCCTCTATAGTAGTAACTCCATATAGCCTAGTGTAAGCCGGCTGTCATTGTAGTAAACACTAGTGTCTCTCTCACCTACGCTAAACGGTAAAAATGACTCTGTCCTCGGTGCCAGCTGCCCGTCGGCGTCCAGAAATCGGGTCGGGTCGAACCTCTCCGGATCGGGCCAGAACTTCGGGTCCATGTGGAGAGACCACAGGTTGGGCAGTATGAAGGTGCCGGCTGGTATCTGTGTTAAATACAAGAGAATACTTCAGGACAAAGAAAGCAAATTATAAGGCAAGAGTCCGTAGGGAACAATCATTCGTACTAATCGTTTCCTGGATGTCAGACCCATAGCACATTGGCCCAAAGAAATGGACTGTTCCAAAGATGTAGGTGTCGTTTTGCACCTACGAAAACTGCTACGATGTAGAAAATATTGTCCACATCATCTCGCGCATACATGTGCTAGCAGGCGACATGCCAAACTAGAGACAACAGACCCTGAGTTACAGCTGCGAACTCGAAAATCACAACAGATAGCAATACTCTGCCACTGACCTCCTTCAAACAGTGACAAGTGAAATACAACGTTAACGTGTACATGTATGCAAGAAGCAGAGTGGTCACCTGATGTCCCAAAATGGTAGCAGGGGCTGTGGTTTCATGAGGGACAGAAGAGGGTGCGATGGAACGAATCCGCTGGGCCTCACGTATGGTCGCCTCCGTGTAGGGAAGGTAGTCTCGCAGCAGCATAGACGGGGTCTGTATGTGCACATATACGTTACACTAGCCTGCAACAATGCAACATTGTATTTAAAGCAAAAGTTCTTAAAGATTTGAAAACTCAAGGATTCGAACCCACGACCTCAACGGTTAACCATGCGAGGGAAAAACACGACCACTCTGCATTCGTCATGTTATGAAAACTACTAAATATAGCTACCTGTTTCCCAAGTGACACATCGATCTCAACATGTACTTTACGCTGTACTTCCTGGTTCATAACCAGGTAAAGCAGAGCCCAGGAGAGAGTGGTGGCGGTGGTGTCAGATCCTGCCACGAAGAGATTTCTGATGACATTGATGATGTTGTCCTCTGGCAATTCAGACAAAATCCTGTTCCCTAATATTGGAATACAATACGAGTAGTTAAATAAGGGTAAGATCTTGTGACAACCGTATGTGTGTTGACATTCTAATAAAATAATTTCAAAGGTGCTAAGGTGATTCCAAAGAAACCGCAAGAAAACTTTAAGAGCAAAGGGAGCTTGGTTAAGCCGACCAGGGCCTTAGAAAAGCCTTCATCATCATCATTATCATCGTCGTCGTCGTCGTTAGCTAACTTGCTAACGATGATGATTATTAAATTGACAGATTTCCGAGGATCAAGTAAGTCTATAACTGTCCAAAGTTAGTCAAGGCAACTCTCGCTAGCGTTGACTTTATGAGCCGGCCAATGATGCAACTATCTGACCATAGCCGTCATCAACGGCGTTCCTCTCAGGAGACAGGTGTGATATGTCAGCCCAGTAACTACTGACTAACGATAAACACCGTCACCCAGTAACTATGTTAACTCTATGTCTATGGGTTGTCTTTTGACCACCTACCTTGATGCTCCTCCAGCAGGAAACCATCGATGACGTCCCTGATGTTGTTCGGGTCAAAGGTCTCCCTGTGCTCCTGGATGACTTCGATGACGAAGCTGCGGATCTCCTCGCTGCACGTCACCACCTCCTCCAACTTCCGCCGGACAGACGGGACATGCCGCAGGATTGGGTAAACGTTCAACGCCTGGGGAAACAAGCAAACGTCTTCAGGACATTATCATTACAACTTTCCACCAGTGCAGCAATGTCAGTTCCAACTTCAGTGCATCCCATAGAGTTTACAAAAATGATCATTGGCACAAACTTCACAAACTTCATCGTATGGTAGATGGGGAGGTAGACCTTTTAGGCATACATATACCTAGGGATTTGGGGTCCATTATTAACTGCAACTTTCAACCCCGTTTAGCAAAATTAGATAGATTATTATTCCCCTGGAAAAGCAAAAGTTTATCTTTGTTTGGAAAAATTACTGTCATAAATTGTTTGATTGTTTCCCAGTTTACTAATCTTTTCCAGGTGCTCCCCTCCCCAAGTAAATCCTTTTTAAAATATATGAGAGAA